GAGTATTAGCGAGGGTATTATAAATAAATCACAAGACTCCGATTTACATTTCGAATAATAAATGGTATGGTATTTAAGCATAATGAATTAAAAAAAATCTCATTTACGAGTATTAAGAGATCTATTTACAAGTATTAAGATAACGAAGGCTTGAAAAGTTTTATTGTGGTCGCGAAAAGTAAAAAAAAAAAATAATAGTAATTTTGCTTCAAAGGTATTTATATTAATAACTTTAGACTAATTTGTATAACATACATTTCGACCGATCTAATAGATCCAAATCTGTAGCCTACCAGAATATTTGTTTGATCGTTATCGTTATTTTTTTATTAAATATAATAGGTTAGAATATTCTATTGATTGTTTTATTATTATATGACCTTTTATGTATAATAATCTAGAATATTCAGTTCTAATTGTTGGGAATGAATAACAATTAAATATGATGCAAATCGATGATGCAATTCAAAGTTAAAAGTATTTTAAATATTATAAAAGCCAAAAAGTCTTTTTAATAAATGGTTTTAGTATTTCTTACAATAAAACAAAAACTAAAAGCAAAAGGTAAAAAAAAAAAAACTTAATAGCGTGCAAATCAACACTAAAATATTATATTATAATAAGATTTCGGATTAAAACATTTGTCTAATTTTGTTTATTTTTTTTTAGCCGTTTTCAATGTTCAGTTGTAGTGTGTGCAAAGAAAGATTTGACTGTCTAATGTGTCTTATAAATCACAAAAAAGTTTACAAAAACAACTATCAGGTTGAAGATAACTCTAATAATAGTACAAATACGGATAATGAGGATACAGAGATTCATAGTTCTGATGAATCAGATATAATAATGTCCAATGACCAAGATATCGTTGAAAAATCAGGTCTGATATTTGATCTCAAGAATATTAATAAACCTAATCTAACGTTTGAAGAATACAATCCAAGGTTTGAAGAATACAATCCAATGTTTGAAGAATACAATCTAACGTTTGAAGAATCTAGTTCAACATTCTATAAATCTAGTTCAATATTCGATGAATCTAGTTCAACATTCGATGAATCTAGTCCGACATTCGATGAACTTAATCCAATATTAGATCAACAAGATATCGCTAATCAAATGGTTATTTGTGAGTCCAGTCAAATATCTGAAGGATGTATGTTAGAAAATTACAAGACTGTCAACGAAGGTTTGAGTGATGATAGTGAATATAGTGACTGTGATAAGATAAACCATGCAGAATTTCCAAGTTCAGCATATCAGGATTTTATAGAAATAGTAAGTGTTTATACTTTTTATGAATTCTTGATATAATAGTTGTCACAGATCATAATAAAATTGGATTAAATGAAATTTTTGAGTTTCTATTTAACCTCCTATAAATTCTACCCTAAAGCTTACCCTTGACGCTAAAAAGCTAAAAAAATCACAACCCAAAATTTGGTATTTTTCAGTGGATTGTCCATTTTACACGATACAAAATTTCATTTTATTCAGATTTTATTTTAATCTGCCACGATAACAATAAATTTTTATGCATCGTTCCGGTTAATGTAAAAGTGCAGCATCTACATTTAAGAAAATTGTATATATCATCGTTTTTATATAAAATTTGAAAGTTAATGTCTAAAACTGGTGTTATAACATTATTAGATAATTAAATACCAGCTTTCTTATACAGCTGGTAATGCTGTATTTAAGTTTATAAAGAAACATGGCCAAGTTTCGAACCAAGCTTTGCCACGATCAACAAAAGACAGCCTTCTTTTTTTGGATACATTGAAAAAAAGTTATACCAAATTTTTTTCAACTCCTATTGCAAAATTAAAAGGTCAAGTCTATTCATTTGAGTATTGACCAATAATTTCGGCTGTTAAGGAAATTCTTCAGAATCAAGAAATTGCGTCGAGTTGTGTTTTTGATTATGAAGAAATTTATTTATCAATTGGGGTAAAAAATTCTTAGACTTTAATCTGCTCTTTGTACAATAAGTTTTTATTCAATTCTAGTTGTAGGTTACATAGTTAAATTTTTGTAATCTTATTATTATTTTATTATGATTTTAATTTTTAGAGATGTCAAGAAAGGGTATACTTGGAATTGTATAATTGTAATTAGTGGGTTCGTGCACAACAATGTATTCTATCTGAAAATAAAATTTTAGCTATAATTTTATATTCTGATGCGACTATGTTGGATCATTTAGGAAAGATATCACGTCATCCAGTTTTTATTAGCTTGGGCAATATCCCAACAAACTTGC